CTCTCTGTCTCCCCACTTGGGTACGCTTCTCTTTGAGTCTCTTTATTATTCTATATCTCTTATTGTTCTCTCTCCTTTCTTCCCTTATTCCATTCTCTCTTTCATGATTCTCTTCCATGTCTGGCTATTATTCTCTCTCTCTCTCTCTCCTCTCTCTCTCTCTCTCTCTCTCTCTCTCTCTCTCTCTCTCTAGGCCTCTTCCATCAAGGTTGGTAAAAAAAACCCAAAGATTTCTTTCAATTCTTTCTTTCTCTGTAGTGGAAACTTTCTTTCAACTTTCTTTACCATCCAATTTTCTCCTTCGCCGTTTCTCTCTCTTCTACACTTTCTCTTTTCTTAACCCTTTCTATCCCTCACGTTTTCCCCATCACTTTCTATTTAACTTTCTTCCCCCATTAACTTTCTCTCTATTTCTAATACCGACAAAGACAAGGAAACGACACTGAGTACACACACACACACACACACACACACACACACACACACACACACACACACACACACACAGACACACATGAAATACTACATACACGTTAAAGCCTGGAGAGAGATGACAGGTATTCAAGGGGTAAACATATAACTCAATCAACCAATCAGAGCACCGTCGTCATATCTGAGGGTTGGTGACCACAGTCCTCCACTCTAATCGTTCTCAGGCTGTGTTCACCAATCCTCTAAGGTGTTGTGTCTCTCTGGGGACTCGGTCTCTGGCCCTCCTACCCTCAACTTTGTCCATTAATATTTCCGTTATTATTCCTTCATCATTAATTATATGACTAAAGTATCTCATTTGTCTTTTTTTCTAAACATTTCAAGTATTTCTCTTGAAGTTTTTGATAATCTTAGTACTTCTTCATTTGTTTTCCTGTCAGTGTAGTTTATTGTTAACATTCGTCTATAACACCACACTGTAAAGGCCTCCACAACCTCTGTCTGGTGTCTGCTCAAAGTGTCCACGCTTCTCACCCATACATCAGTCCTGGCCATATAAAGCCTTTCACCTGCCCTTCCTTTCATTAGATCTTATATTATTAATTACTGTTTTTATTTCCGTTATTCTTTATGTTACTTTCTAATTACACAAAATATTCCTTTCGTGTTTAAGATGACGAGGATAATTTTGTTTTAGGATTTGTTTATAGAGACGACAGTACAAAAAAAAACAGGACAGAAATGATGAGAGATAGTGGATGTCTCTCTCTCTCTCTCTCTCTCTCTCTCTCTCTCTCTCTCTCTGCTTACATTATCTCTACACCACGGGCAGTCCATGAATACCACTTGGAGACAGACAGATAGAGAGACAGACAGAGACAGATAGAAGACAAATAGACAGACAATTAACCTAATACATGTAATGGCACCAAGAACCTGCACACCAACGCATGCAGCCCCAACACATTTCAGACACTAGCCTCCCCCTCTCCCTCCTCCTCCTCCTCCTCCTCCCCTCCTCCTCCCCCTCCCTCCCCTCCTCCTCCTCCTCATTTATCACTCTACTAAAATAATATCAATTAAGGTTGGTGATGCTGATAGATTCACTCCAAGTCTTAGTCTGGTGTGTGTGTGTGTGTGTGTGTGTGTGTGTGTGTGTGTGTGTGTGTGTGTGTGTGTGTGTGTGTGTGTGTGGTGTGTGTGGTGTGTGTGTGTGTGTGTGTGTGTGGTCTTTAATGAGGACACACCTGTAATGTTACCTGTGGTGGTGGTATTCTCTCTCTCTCTTAATCTCCCTCTCATCATCCTTAATCTGGCTCTTATATCTTTTAATCTCTTTCGTATCTCCCTTAATCTTTCTTTCTCTCTTTCTTCTCCTCACTCATTCTTCTCTGTTCTCCCCTCTACCTCCCTCTCTTCTCCCCTCTTTCCCTTACCCACATCCCTATCTTCTTCCTTATCGCCTCTCTCCTTCCTTCTCTCCCTCCCTTCTCCTTCTCCTACCTTCTCTCCCTCCCTTCTCCCTCTCCTCCTCTCTCTCCCTTCTCCCTCTCCTCCTCTCCCTCCCTTCTCCCTCTCCTTCTCTCCCTCCCTTCTCCCTCTCCTACCTTCTCTCCCTCCCTTCTCCCTCTCCTCCTTCTCTCCCTCCCTTCTCCCGTTCTTTTAGACGTGAAGGTCATTAAGAAGAGGAGAATATTAGTGTTATAAAGGTCACTCAGGACTGGTTGTGCTCAGACCTCAGGTGAGACGATATTATTTAGGTGAGGAAAAGTCACCCCGTGGGATGACTACAGCCAGGTAGAGAGAGTCATATACATACATACATACATACATACATACATACATACATACATACATAGATACATACATACATACATACATACAGTACACCTCTACCATCCATAATCACCTTCAGTACCAAGTGTCGTGAAAATACCTTTGATTCTTGTTTAGATGAGACCATATTTACACACACACACACACACACACACACACACACACACACACTACTACTACTACTACTACTACTTTGCTGTCACTCGGAATCGAGTAAGACGATCATCCAGCTATGATTCAATGATATGAGTTGTTCAGGATGTCACCTCCGTTGGTGAGCTCTGAGGTGATTCGAGAGGCCGACACGGGACCGGCATGGTCATCCACAGATGTGGTACGTGTGGAGGGCTACATCTAGTGCGGGAGGGGCGGCAGCAGCTTTTTTCCGGTGTTGGCGCTTGTCTGCCTCGTTATGCAGTCGGTCTAACTCGAAAGTATTGACACCTTCTCAATGGTGCTCCTCCAAGCGTTACGGTGTGGAGTGATCGTCTCCCAGGTGAGGGGGTCGATTTGGTACTTTTTCAGGTTTGTCTTAAGACTATCCTTATACCTCTTCAGTTGCCCGCCAGCGTTACGTTTACTATTCGTTAGGTGACTGTAAAGTAGCTGCTTTGGCAGTCTACTGTCGTCCATGCGGGTAACATGGCCAGTCCAGCGTAGTTGTTCATGGATAATGGTAGCCTCGATGCTCCTACAGTTGGTGTCAGCGAGAATACTGGCATTTGTTCTCTTGTCTTCCCAGCGAACTCGGAGGATGGAACGTAGACTACGTTGGTGAAAGTTTTCAAGGCCTATAGTATGTCTCGCTGCCATATAGCAGGGTGGGGAGGACCACTGCTCGATGTACGTGCAACTTTGTAGATAATTTCGGCTCCCTACAGCTGAACACACGGGTATGGTGTAAAATCATCACACTTGCCCATTTAGTTTCTCGGCACTGTAGTCGAAGATATAAACGTAAACACTAACCAGCAGATGTCACTCTGACCAGTACAGTACACGGGTTCGATACAAAGACTAGTAAATGTCTTCAAGTATCTAAATGGAATCCCATGAATCACCAAAGGCTTCTTCAATTGTCTCCATGCATCTCCGAGCACTTACAAACGTCTCAAAGTGTCCCCCAAATTAGCTTCAAGCATCTCCTAACGTCTGGAAGCATCTCCTAGTGTCTGGAAGCATCTCCTAGTGTCTGGAAGCATCTCCTGGTGTCTGGAAGCATCTCCTGGTGTCTGGAAGCATCTCCTAGTGTCTGGAAGCATCTCCTAGTGTCTGGAAGCATCTCCTAGTGTCTGGAAGCATCTCCTAGTGTCTGGAAGCATCTCCTAGTGTCTGGAAGCATCTCCTAGTGTCTGGAAGCATCTCCTAGTGTCTGGAAGCATCTCCTAGTGTCTGGAAGCATCTCAAAGGTTTCCACGAGTCCAGGCCTTTATTCTCTTGCTTGGCTTTTTAATATTTTCGCTTCAAGACTTCCAGAGTTTTTATCAAGACTTACCCATATGAACCTCTCTCTCTCTCTCTCTCTCTCTCTCTCTCTCTCTCTCTCTCTCTCTCTCTCTCTCTCTCTCCACAATCCCTCCACTCCTCCTGACTAATCCCTCCCCTCCACAATCCGTCCTCCCTCCAATCCCTCCTCCCTCCACAATCCGTCCCTCCCCTCCGATCGTCCCTCTTCACAATCCCATCCCCTCCTCCACAATCCGTCCCTCCTCTCCACAATCCGTCCTCCCCTCCACAATCCGTCCCTCCTCTCACGATCGTCCTCCCTCCACAATCGTCCCTCCCCTCCACCAATCCATCCTCCTCCCTTCTTGACTGCATCATCACCTGTTTCCCCAACCGTTTCCTCAAGCCTGTAAGCATACCTAATAGCGCCTGGGCAGGTTTATAATGGGTGTGTGTGGGTGTGTGTGTGGGTGTGTGTGTGTGTGTGTGTGTGTGTGTGTGTGTGTGTGTGTGTGTGTGTGTGTGTGTGTGTGTTTCTAAATATGGTCTCATCTAAACAAGAATCAAAGGTATTTTCACGACACTTGGTACTGAAGGTGATTATGGATGGTAGAGGTGTACTGTATGTATGTATGTATGTATGTATGTATGTATGTATGTATGTATGTGTATGACTCTCTCTACCTGGCTGTAGTCATCCCACGGGGTGACTTTTCCTCACCTAAATAATATCGTCTTTCCTGAGGTCTGAGCACAACCAGTCCTGAGTGACCTTTATAACACTAATATTCTCCTCTTCTTAATGACCTTCACGTCTAAAAGAACCACTATAACTATCTCATATAAACGTCTCTACCTGGTCCCTTGGAGAACATAACCTAACCTAACCTAACCAAACCTTAAAACCTAACCTGATCCTAAAAGATTCTCGTAATGGTGAAAAGAGATGATTATTAAAGTCACTTCAGCGTCTATAATTGAAGCTTCGAAGGCATCTCAACAGCTTTATACACACAAGATACGGCGTTAATGAGCCTGTGATATGCGTTCTCACAGCTCCAATTAGGGGAGTATATTGCATAAGGACCTGTCAGAGGCCCAAAGTAGTTTAACAGCTTGACGGGGCACCAGTGATACCCGTTGTCACATCTTGAGTTAAGGACAAGGAGGAAGACTACATAACCCAGTACCTCAGCTGACCTCTGTTAACACTATCAGCTGAATATTGTTTACATATATCAGTTGACCTCTGTTAACACTATAAACTGACCTGTGTTGACACTTACTTGATGACCTTTAGGGTTATGGTGTCGTGTTCACTCTCCAGGTCTACCTGTGAAGGACAGGTATCGTCAGGTAATTACTCTTTTGTTAATAATTTTGATGTGATGTGAAAATTTGACGGTAATTTTAGAATTGAAGAATGATACGAGATGCTACATACATACATACATACATACATACATACATACATACATACATACATACATACATACATACATACAGTTACATAAAAACACATTCATAGTGAAACATTAACTTACTAAATGGGTACATCCATTAATCCATACGTACACACACACACACACACACACACACACACACACACACACACACACCTTTATGGAATTACACAGCACATAAACAGTAACATAAAGGTAACAGCTTGAAAAATAGTAACAGTAATATATCAGTAGCAACAGTAACGTAACAGTACCGCAACAGTAAAATAACGTAACAACTAACGTAACAACGTAGCATAACGGTACCGCAACAGTAACAACAGTGATAACGCAACTAACGTAACGTAACGTAACAGTAACGTAACAGTACCGCAACAGTAACATAACAGTAACAAGCTAACGTAACAGTAACGTAACAGTAACAAAACAGTAAAGTAACAGTAACGTAACAGTAACATAACAGTAACATAACAGTAACGTAGTAACATAACAGTAAAAATATAGCAACGCTACCTTAATGAACTATTTAATTATCTCATATGTAACTTTTACTCTCAAGCTTTCTATATTGACAGTTTCTGGCCTGGGTAGACAGTTGAGACCAGGTAACCCCTTCCTCCCTCCTACCCCACCTCTACCCACACCCTACCCCCACACCCTCTCCCTCCCACCCTCTACCCACACCACCCCTACCGCACCTCCTACCCCACACCACCTACACACACCCTCTACCCCCACCTCTACACACCCTACACACCACTCTACCCCCACACACCCTCTACCCCACTCCCACACCACCTCCCCTCTCCCCCACACCCCCCACACCCTCTCCCCGCACCTCTACCCCACCCCCCCAACCCCTTAACCTTGGAATTCTCTTTAGCTCTGCATTTTGTAGACGATATAAATAAATAACCTTTTTCAAGGATAAACTACGGTGGATTACATTTTCTATGGATGATAACGATTTGCTTTCTGTGTGTTTCCTAGGACAGACTAGAAGCTACACTTTTATTTACGGGAAGAAAGTAAGAAAATATGATAGTTTCATTTTTTTTTTCAGGAAGGGACGACAGGAGACTATGTTTTCTCTTCAAAGGAACACAAGAATTTTAGAGTTTGTTTGTTTTTGTTTCTTTTTTATAGAAAGAGTAAAAAAAAACAGTTAAGGAAGATATCTCTCTCTCTCTCTCTCTCTCTCTCTCTCTCTCTCTCTGACCAAATATCTTGGACAGGATGTTACTGCCAGGAAGTGAGTGGGAAGTGAGGAAGTGTAAGAAGGAGATGAGGAGTTAGAAGAATAGAGGTGAGTGGAAGACTACACGCATCAGGGGAGGCAGCACGTCATCACTCTAACAGGTGACGTGTAATTTCGTGGTGGGTGACAGTGGGACCCTAGCGTGGGGATGACAGAGGAAGAGAAGGGAAGGAAGGAAGGAAGGAGAAAAGGGACAGTGAATAGACACAATAAGAGGCAGTAAAGAGGCAGAATGATGAAGGAATGGTGAGAGATGAGAGAGAGAGAGAGAGAAAACAATTATCTCCCCGGAAAAGCTTTTAATGGTGCCTGAGTACTCTCTCTCTCTCTCTCTCTCTCTCTCTCTCTTTATCTATGTCTTTCTCTCTTGTCTGATCTACACTGGACTGTCAGCTTCAGGTCTGATCTACACTAGTCTGTCAGCTTCAGGTCTGATCTACACTGGACTGTCAGCTTCAGGTTTGATCACACATAGTCTCAGCTTCAGGTCTGATCTACTAGTCTTCAGCTTCAATTCAGGTCTCACTGGTCTGTCAGCTGGTCTGATCTACACTGGTCTGTACTTCAGGTCTGATCCACTAGTCTCAGCTTCAGTCTGATCTACACTAGTCTGTCAGCTTACGATCTACCTAGTGTCAGCTTCAGGTCTGATCTCACTAGTCTGTCAGCTTCAGGTCTGATCTACACTAGTCTGTCAGCTTCAGGTTTGATCTACACTGAGCTGTCATTAGGTCTGTCACACCATCTGTCAGCTTCAGGTCTGATCTACACTAGACTGTCAGCTTCAGGTCTGATCTACACTAGTCTGTCAGCTTCAGGTCTGATCTCACACCTAGTCCGTCAGCTGGTCTGATCTACACTAGTCTGTCAGCTTCAGGTCTGATTCACTAGTCTGTCAGCTTCAGGTTTGATCTACACTGCCTGCAGCTTCAGGTTGATCCTAGTCTGTCTTCAGGTCTGATCTACACTAGTCTGTCAGCTTCAGGTCTGATCTACACTAGTCTGTCAGCTTCAGGTCTGATCTACACTAGTCTGTCAGCTTCAGGTCTGATCTACACTAGTCTGTCAGCTTCAGGTCTGATCTACACTAGTCTGTCAGCTTCAGGTCTGATCTACACTAGTCTGTCAGCTTCAGGTCTGATCTACACTAGTCTGTCAGCTTCAGGTCTGATCTACACTAGTCTGTCAGCTTCAGAGTCTGATCCCTAGTCTGTCAGCTTCAGGTCTGATCTACACTGAGTCTCAGCTTCTGTCTGATCTACCTGTCTGTCAGCTTCAGTCTGTCTCACACTAGTCTGTCAGCTTCAGGTTTGATCTACACTGGTCTGTCGCTTCAGATCTGATCTACACTAGTCTTCAGCTTCAGGTCTGATCTACACTAGTCTGTCAGCTTCAGTCTGATCTACACTAGTCTGTCAGCTTCAGGTCTGATCTACACTAGTCGTCAGCTTCAGGTCTGATCTACACTAGTCGTCAGCTTCAAGTCTGATCTACACTAGTCTGTCAGCTTCAGGTCTGATCTACACTAGTCTCTCCAGCTTCATTGATCTACACTAGTCTGTCAGCTTCAGGTCTGATCTACACTAGTCTGTCAGCTTCAGGTCTGATCTACACTAGTCTGTCAGCTTCAGGTTTGATCTACGTCTGTCGCTTCAGGTTTGATCTACACTAGTCTGTCAGCTTCAGGTTTGATCTACACTAGTCTCAGCTTCGGTTTGATCCCTGTCAGCTTCAGGTCTGATCTACACTAGTCCTTCAGGTCTGATCCCCTTCAGGTCTGATCTACACTAGTCTGTCAGCTTCAGGTCTGATCTACACTGGACTGTCAGCTTCAGGTTTTGCCTCCTCAGAGGACCGAGTTTATTCAGTTGGCTGCCCACACAACTTCTTCTTCTAGCTTTTATTGAGTCGTGAAGGCAATTTTCTTTTTGTTTTCGTGTTATTGTTTTTGTGTGTGTGTGTGTGTTGTGTGTTTTTAGTTATTACACGTTATTAAGGTTGATGACATGATACACTTACACGTCTTTAGGAAGGCACACACACACACACACACACACACACACACACACACACAGAAATTACAGTAGGAACTTGCCAAATATTGCTCAATATTTCCAGGAATTTTTGACCGCAGCTGTACACAATCAAGTAACAATATATTCAGAATAAACCTAACCTAACCTAACCAACGAGGGAATTTTGAACGTTTTTGTAAGTAAAAGTCGTGGTCTGTGAGGGGGGAAAAACACGTATTAAATGATGCTGTTTTGAATATAAATGTTAATGTTATCATAGATGTTTATCATGACTAATTCTGTGACGATCTGTAGGTTAACATAATATTTTTTACTACCATACATACACAGTGACACCATGTAATAATGTATTATATATGTTCATTATGTATTTTTAAATCTTCAGCTGCTATATTTTTTCTCTCTCTTAAACCAGAATTAAAGAGTAAGAGCGACAGTATTTTGTTCCTCCATGTAAACAAAACCAATGATGGTTTCTGCGTCTATACTATCAAAGAATCTATACATTAGTAGTAAGAAAACAAAAGACAAGCAGATGTCAACTGTTCGTATGAGTGCCTAGAGCCTTGGCTTCGGTTAAATATCCCTCAGATCAGAGTATAGGATTAAGCACCAAAGGTTACACTGAAAACACGTAATTGGAACAGATTTAACATGTTAATGAATAACATGAAATGCTTTTGTTTTAGGTTACCGGGATGTGTGTGTGTGTGGGTGTGTGTGTATATACGTGAACGTGTTTGTGTGTATGTTGTACGTAACCGACTTAGCATATATACCTGTACGTTCACCTTTAATTCTACCTATACCTGTACTGACTGACTGACTGACTGACTGACTGATATAGATAGATACAGTTACTCGTCGTTCAATCTTTACTCTCTCTCTCTCTCTCTCTCTCTCTCTCTCTCTCTCTCTCTCTCTCTCTCTCTCTCTCCACGTTACATCAGGGTTTATAGGTTAATTACCCTAAAGATTCTAATCCATTCTTTTCCCTAATCCCTTTATTTCTTCCCTAATCTCTTAATTCTTTCCCTAATCCTTTCTCTCTGTTCCCCTAACCCCATATTTTTGTTTTTCACTCTTCCCTCCCTTCCATAATTATTCCCTTTCATCAGTATTATGTTTCACGCATATTCTCTCCAATTCCACTACCTTTAACAATTTTCTTCTTCTTCATCTTCCTCGTTATCTTCATTTCCTTCGTTTTCCATATCTGTGTTTTGATAATTATTCGATTTTTTTTCTGTATCTTAATTTCGTTCATCCTTTTGTCTTGTTTCTTGTGATTCTCTTTCTTTTTCATTTTCTTTGATTTATTCTCACATCTTTCTCATCTCCCTTCTTCATCTTCGTGTTGCTTATTTCCCTCTTTCATTATTTTACGCCTTATTTATTTTTATTTATTTGTTTTTATTTTCGTAGTTTCTGTGTTGTTCATTTTCTCCAACAATTCATCTCCAACAATTCATCTCCAACATTTTCTCCAACAATTAATCTCCAACATTTTCTCCAACAATTAATCTCCAACAATACATCTCCAACATTTTCTCCAACAGTTTATCAGTTCCATAAG